GCGTCTACAGACTTTAAACACGACAGAAACTGTGTTCACTTTTCTATGTACTTTATTTACTCGATTGTAAGACGAAATTTTCACATTTAAGAATTAAATGTCTTAAATCGGGGTATGTCTTTCATTTGATGGCGTCTAAGAACTGATTTATCTTCTTTTATCCTGAAAGCCTAAATCAAGGACGCATGTTAAAATCGAGGAGGTTTTGTCCTCGCTTTACGTTAAATGTTGAAACGCTCGCCACGAGCGTAATCGTCAGCTAAGAACGCCTGGCTGGCTGGCTGCCTGCTAATGACGTATTTTATGTGGTCGGCTCTGCTGTATTCCGGCGTGTGGAGTACCATTGAGCCACGAAAGTAAGACAGAAGACTTCTTATTTCCCGTTTTTCAAAGTGTTAGCCGGGCGAACACGATTAACATGAACGCTTCACCTTGTCCGGAATTGTTTCACGTATCTGTCAATTAGTGACACTGGCGAAGCATCCCTCACGGCAATAATTACAAGTGTCAAGCTTCGTTTTAAAACTGTTTGTAGTGTGATGGTTTGTACGTGTCTTTCCTAAATTGTTTTACCATGACGTCAGTATCTGTGAACTGATGACGATTCGTTCATGTCCTTGACAGGTTGTTGTTGTTGTTGTCTCTTTACTCGGTGGCATTTTAAACAAACGAAACATATGACGCGCATAAGTAATCACTGGGGTTCAGTAGCGTAAATCAAGAATTTTAACCATTTAAAGCCTAATGCATCACCTACTTTGATAATCATTAATTATGCTTTGTTTACTTGTAATTTCGTCTGATTCTTGCTGTAAGCTGGAATAATTTCCTTAAACAGTTAATCTCTGTTATGGAGAAGTGTTGTGTTTTCTTTGAGGTACGTATTGGATTCTTAAACATTATTTAGATTAACTTAACGTCAAAGGGTTAATCTCGATTCTGTGATAAACGTATGTTATTTTAATAGTCGTTCATGATCGTTCGCTAGTCACAGACGCAATTTGTCCGTCTGTCTGTTGAGTTCTTCAGTTCATGAATCCTGCTACACGTCCGTGAACCATTTGTCTTTTCCTTGGTTCACTTAGACACACTGCTTCAGTTGGATAAGTAAAATAAAACGTAGAATGGAAAGTATCTGAACGTCGCGGTTGAGTGGTTAGCACTCCCGCTTCATATTGTAGTGGTCCTGAGGTGGAATCTGAGCCCGGTGACCGGCTGTCTTCCCTGAAGCCTTACGCGTTTTTCCTCAGTCCCTTCAGGAACTTTCAGAATAGTACCTACAGTTAGTCCAGGACCGCCTCCTACATTCTTTCCAATTCATTATTTCCTAATCATCTTACGCTATATACCTACGTAGTCTGACATACTGTTTGCGTCATTCAACAAACCATAGCTAAAGTATTATGAATGGGCATTGAATTAGTAAGTCCATGGGAGGAAGCGATCAACCCATAATTCTTTTGAAGTGACTCGTATCAGGCTAGTTTAGGAAAATCATAACCGAACCGCCAACTACCTCCAGTCTTAACCTTAAAGGTTTGTTTTTGGTGTGGATATGAATGTGAAATATTTCCACTTTATTTAATTTAAGTATAAAATAACGATCACAAATAGTTACTTTACGTGCATTCGGAACTCATGTGCTTTTGAGATTGGCACTTTGGGCCGGATGTGGTCCGCGGACAGCGAGTTTGTTATATTTGAGACAGAGTAACGCTCTGTATGAGGCACTGGTTCATAGTTTATATAAATGAAATGTATTACTGCATGCAGGAAGAAGCCTGCCAGAAGTGCAATGCACTCGACCCTACCAGAGTATAGGCCTAACACGGGTTCTTTACAGAGCGTACAAACTGACATCAACATCATAACGCGCAGTAGCAAATTTTCCTCTTATCAGTTTACTTACCCCAAGCAAATAAGCGGTTGCTTATCTCTGGCTGTGACGTATAATCTGACCTTCATCGTCCACATTGTTTGGAACGAATGTTTGGTAATGCGCTTTCCTTTATTTTATTATCCGTTCCTAAAAGACGTCTACTAACAAGCACTTTATCCTATTCTGTTAGCCGAAATTTATACTAACTTTACAAAAATTGTAGGAAAGAAAACATTATGAATGTAATATAGCTCAGTCGCTTTATATCTTCATATGTGAACGAAACTTTTCTTTCAGAGTTTAGCCAGTGTTTAAGACAGAGTGCTGCGGAGAGCATTTGGACCTAATAAACAAAAAGTAGAACACGATAGACAGAATAAGGAGCTCAAAAATGCGTACTTCTTTATCTGATCGAGGCTTGTTCACACACAGCCAGTAATTTAGTCGAGTAACGAGTAGTTTAGTTACTTACCATGTGTGGACATTAACATTTATTCGAGTAGTTTAGTGAAACGATTTAGTCGAGTAGATTCATTTCATTATATTTTTTTGGTCGAGTAGGCTTTCCCCACCCCTATACAACTGAGCTCGGGACATGTCTGAACACGTTTGTTTAGTCAAGTTCATTAGTAGCCAAAATGACGCGCTGGAATGAAGAGATGACAATTCGCTTTATTACTGAATATTTAAATCATGAATCACTGTGGAATGTGAAAAGTGAACTGTATGTTGCAGGGTTCTTAAGCTGCATCCCGTTGCAATCAAGTACAGCGTGGTTTGAAGTTTCGTTTTTGCTAGAGTTGCACTGCGCATATGAGTATCTCTTCGTTGAATTCGAGCTTTAACATTGTTTAACAAGAAATCGAAATTAGTTTCAGACATCCTGAGTGTGTTCAAGTATTCTGCTGGATCTTCTAATTCTAGTTCTCTGAGAAGACAACTTGAAGCCCCCAATAAATCTCTTCTACTAATCCACTTTCTAACCCACAGTCGCTTTCGTTCGTATGAAATTTCTTCTTCAATTTCCTCTAATAAAAAATTGGCAAGGTTTCTGATACCATTATTTATAACTGCACGGTGTCGTCTGTCCATCTTGCGTGAATTCAAACGCTCAACTGTACTAGTCCGGACACATTAAAAGCGACTAAACCATTTTAGTGTTAATTACTACTCGCTACTCGACTACATTACTGGCTGTGTGTGAACAAGTTTAAGAGATGGATGGTACGTGTAGCACTCAAGGGGGAATAAGAAATGTATAAACATTTTAGTCGGAAACTTGGGAATAGATGGAGGAAACTCTAACATTGGTTTGAAAGAAACCGGGTGTAAAGGTGTTGGCTGAATAAGGATAGAGTTCAGTGTCGGTCTGTTGTGAACACGGGAACAGAACTTCTGTTATAATAAATGGAGGGTTTTTTCTCGATCCGCTCTCAGATCTCGAGAAGGACTCTAGTCAGGGAATAGTCACTATCATATTGATCTAGCATTAAGTTCTACTCATTCCTCCTTATGAAGACAGCACTGAGTAAAGAATTTGTGAAAATTGGAACAGTTAACGCGCAGAATATCTGTGGGAGGATAGACGTTCAATGCACATGAAATACCCATCCATCGAAAATGTCAGTTCCTTAGTACGAATCACTGTCTAGGATTCTGAAATTTTCCATCATTCTTGCTCAGACATTAAGGATTCGTCGTAATGAACGTGAAGTTTCACATCACTCTTGAAGTACAGTATCTTTTAGAGATAAGAATGAAGGACGGCCAGCACGATAGTGAGCTGTGTGCAAGGTCTTCTGCTCCTTCTGCCTTTCATATTACGCATTAGCGAGGAATATTTCCTCTAGTCACTACACTGTTTTCGCCTGATGTTTTAAAAGGACAGATCATCAGTTATAGAGAGCCGATGTGCAAGTCCTTGACGTTTCAGCAGTTTTCCGTTGTCTTTTATTATCCCTTATAGCTGTGTTATGGTTATGGATCTAAAGCCACTACTGCCTACTGCCTGTACGACAATAAAATAATTTTCGTCAGTCCTTCCAATGAAGTTCTGAGTTGATAAAAATGATAGGTCTATACAGTTACTTAATTGAAAATTCCCAGATATTTAATAACATTTAAATGATTTTAGTAGTTTCATATATGAAGCTTGTTCGTGTTATATACATATGCAGATAACACATAAAGCTATTAAGCCTCATGTTTTGAACGCTAAGATTGCGTCTCGCGAACGGAAAATGATGCAATATTTACGAGCTGTGACTATATTTTATTTGCTTATTATCTTAAGACTGTGATAGCAGGTATCTAATGTAGTATTTTACTGGGCGGAGTAATCTTCGATGTTGGCGGTTCCCGGGTAAAACTATGGGTTCAATATCCAAGGTCTGTCCCATCCGCTAAACCATTTTCGCATCGCGTGATCATTTTCTCCCATTACATACAGATGGCCCAAAATGTACGTACGAAGTTTAATTAATGCATTATTTCACCTGAACGACGAGGTATGAATATCTCATTCAAATCAGCGTGTCAGGCCATTTGTATTACGATGTGTTTAATGTGTTTGCTTCTTAACATCGAAGATCTTTCACATTCTCATTTCAAAGTTTGACACCACACTTTTCATCATCATCATCTTCTTCTTCTCTCTCTTCTTCTTTCTCTCTCTCTCTCTTTGGCCAAGGTTTGAAATTGTGTACCTGTCCGGTCCACCTATGACGCAAGACTTTACCTGGAACACTCTTCTGACCTTTTCTAGGCTTTCAGATGATCGAATGTACTCTTCGATGATGAATGTCCGCTGCGCGGTACTGTACAAAATCCAACGAAAACAAATGGATTCAGTACTAGTGTGTCAGCAAAGTTTCATTAAATTATGACCACTCATTGTGAAGAAAATTTACTTAAAACTTTGTAGGTACATTTTGGGTAATTTATATTTTCTTGGTTTCAACTTCTTATTCGACGAAGACATTTATTTATAAAGCGTCGGTGATTCGAGAGGATTTTAATTGATCCATTGGTTGACAAGTCAGTTAGAAGGAAGAACATATATTGATGAGGAAAACGAAGTGTTGAGTTTAATAGTATCTGGATCCAAGAGAGAGGAGATATCTACGTATGAAGAACTTCATAATGCGTACTCCTCACCAGATGTCATTAGGGCAATAAACATAAATGATTAGTCGTATGGAGCCTGTGGCATATATGAGAGATGATAAAAAGATAAACTTAACTAAAGTAAATGGACTGCAGTCCAGTAAGATTCTTCCAAGTATCGTAATAGCATTGAGGTTTGTCGTGTCCTTTATTCAGTTCACAATCTGACCCCGTTTCCAATTTCCTCTGTACTCGTCTGCCTTTGGTCTGGCCTCTTCAAGATACAAACGGTCCCACCACTTCAAGGTAACAGTGCATAAGGAGGCCCCTCCCCCAACCCACAGAGTACGTTATCACCACTGGGTTGCACTCTCATCCTCATGGAAATGCAGTACCGGAATGATTTCTCTTAGATGGAGCAAGGCCGGAAGCTGGTCCAGATGAAGGCTGCTGGCTGACAACCTCACCTTCACGTTTTGCGCCCTATTTTACAAATGACTCATTAGTAACAGGCAAGGCGATGTTAATTTGTTTTGAAAAAATTGCTACACCAGTTAATACAAGGCTGTATAAATACATTTTGTGTGGAGGAAATTACATTACCAAAACTGAGATAAAATGAGCTCAAACTTAGTTTTAAAAGTTACTGTCTAATTTAATTCGATGATAAATAATGTTTGTAGTTGATTTAGGGTATTAAAAACAGTTATAGTACAGAGCAGCTCTTGATGTCACTCGTATGAGAAGACGTTTTTAACAATTAAATTTTCACACACTTTCGCGAACTCTTGAGTCTCGTTTCTACAAGGATTAGGAACAAATTGGCCCATGTATGGCCTTAGAGCTTGTGTTTACTTAGAAATGTCGCTAAACACACAAAAAAGGTAATTCCTCTGATTTCAATAATTACATTACATGTAGCATTATATAATAAGGGATATTTTTCACGTTGCTAAATTAATTAGATTCATTTGACCTTTGAAAGCTTATGTAATTATATTATTAAACAAGCATGTGCCAGATTAGTTCTTGTCAATAACATGAAACAAAGTTATACATACACAAAGTAAATTCCAGTCTACCTCAAAACAGAATGACATACGAAGGTTTCTTGCGATTGATCGGGAAGGGTGCGAGGGAATTTGCCGTGGACTTCTTTATATCGCAAATAATATCCTAGAATTTTCCTGAAAAAAAGAGGATAACCATGAGTAGATACATAGATCTCTCTGCATTTATTTCTAGACCAACTTCCTCACATCTCATAGAACTTCTGTGCTTTTCATTAAGGAATTTATGTTTTTGCCCAGTAAATTAACATCCTCGCCATAGGCCAGAAGCTGATGTGTGTCATTAACTTCCAATTCCTCTCTGGTTGAAATATTGTCCAGATAAATTCCACGAGTGTGCTGCTCAACCGACGGAAGGCATTATAAAGCCAACCGGTTTTCCTATAATTTCTTCGTGAAGTAAAGGTCGTTAATCCTGCAGGCCTATATATCACTGAGGAGGAAAGTCGAGTGCTGATAAGGAGGTCTATCCTAAAGTAAACGCATACTAAAATAAACAGGCTTGTAGAACACAGGACAGAACTATAATACAATACAGAAGCAGCAAGTACCTCTGAAAGGTCGTAACAATCCAGAAGACTGCCATCTTCATACTCGCCGCCGTCAGACCCTTAAATCTTACAAATAATTATTTTTGTCATTCTGTAGCAACACACACTTCGTAAGTTGTTTAAATTTTAGAATACTTTATTCCAGAATACGTCTCGATGATTTTTTCGTATCAATGCTTTCAAGCATGCCATTCTACCTTGGACACTGTTGGTATTCGTGTTTCTGTAAGGCAATTAAGATAAATTCCTTTCTGCGTGTCAAGTACTTTAAGATATTGTCCTTCAGCTAATCGCGTCATTACTGCAATTGCTATTTTCAGATTTCTGGACATTTTTGGTAAAACATTGTCTGCTTTGAGGATAATTTCTCGATACGAGAAAGTGTTCAGATTGGTCGTATATGTTGAGTTTAGTTTTGGTTTGACTTGTTTTTTTTTATTGTTTTCTGTTCTTTTAGCTTATTTTGTCTTGTGCTTACTCTGTGATTGGCTCTTGTAGCCGTTGGGTTAACACGTTAAAACGTAGAATTGAATTGAACTAAATTGATACGGTTACTGTTAAAGCAAAATCTAAAACTTTCATCCAGACGAGCCTCGTTGTAGGTTCCCTTTTATACATTTTAAACAAAATCTGTGTAAGGTCGATGAACGTGGAATATCTGTACGCCTATACCTGTGCTGACAGTCTCCAAAATCTCCTCTTTCCAGTCCTTAGAAAGCCAGTCGAGCGGAACAAAGTTTTTTAGTACAGCTCACGCGGAAGTGATTGTTCCTAGACCTTTGCCCCGTGTTCCCTTCTTCGGCGGCTACGGACATTGCCAAGTTGCCTGTGTTCTATCCTTTATTATTCCTGGAATCCAGTCGCCCCTGAGCTTCTAATGAATCCGCTCGCGGCAACTCCGTAACTATTCTCAATTTTACTAGAAGGTTCAGAAATATGCTAGTTGCTTTTTCGTATCTTTGTGGTTGTTCTGCTTCTGGAGTGTGGGTACTTCTTGGTTGACCGCGTTGTGATTGTCTTCTGCTGTCCGCGGAACCGTGGGTATGGAGTATTTTTGGGTCGCTTTGCCGTGAAATCCACTCTTTTCCTGGAGTAATGAATTTTATCTCAGAACAGACCAATGTTATTTGACATTGAAATAGTAAAGCGACACCACTTAATAAAAAAGTTTATTTGCTTTTTAATTACGTTATACTTAATAGGATTTGAGGTTTTCACGGCTGTAAGTTATTATTCGGTACAAATCATGGCACTGGCTTTATTATAGTCACCTACCATCGTTCCTGTTGAAATTATATGAAGCTGGACAAATAAAATTTATCATCTACCATGGATGAAAAATGTGTCGTTAAAAGTTTTTATTAAATTTTACGCTGAATAAAATTAAGATTATGGAGTCGAATTAGATTGCAAATGATCGATTACTGTTATGAAACTTAATTTCAAATTGATCAATATTATTTCAACGCTGCTATAATGTTGCTGATTATGTTTAGAAATACAGATTTAGCAAGTGAAAGTAAGGTTAGCAAATGATGTCACTCGAGTATGCCGAAGCTCGTAGGAAGCAAGTTATGAGTCAGAGGCACTGCTAAGAGGTCTTCAGATGTTTTACTTTATTAAAAAAGGAAAGGTTCTTTCGCCGAAAGAGTCTTATAAGCTGTCGGAGGATTTTTAGTAATCTCTGTCTTTAGGGGTGGATTGATTGGCGTTGGGATGTTGGTAGGTTTATGTGGAACGGCTGTGGGATCGGGTTGGAGGGGAACATGAAGATCGAACAGAACCCAGGACGGACGAAAGACTATTTAAGGGAGACTAGCCCAAAATACCATAGCTGGGTAAAATTATACACTAGGGAACAAAGTAAATACTAAAATACAAATATTTAACTAGGAAGATTATATGCAGATGATGTTTGAATATTTATTTAAATTGCTTCCACAAGAGCTTGTTGGGATGGGCAAAAAGAAACTTTCTTACACGATCATGTATATGCATCGATATGTTAAGTTATAATCTCAAATCTCAGACGTTAAGTAACATTTTGTCAGATGAAAGAAATAAGTCATTTAATTATTTCAGCGGACCTACACTTTATTTTAATAAAACCCCAAGCGAGGTACGAGTACTTAACTAGATTCATATTAGAGATACTGGTATTTAGGATGTTTGTCCTACACAAAAGTTATGTATAACAAATCATTTTTGTAAACTTAATATGCGTCTGACTGAATTATTTTGAAGCAGTTTCTGCATGTATACACGTACTGAAGTAGAGGAGTGAATTTTACACAAAAATTTATGGAGGGATTTTTTACAGCGTACGGTTATTAATTGGCGTATGGATTAATTGTATGCCATCGCCCTTGCATTTTTATTTGCATGGGTCATTGACATCCGGGTGTCTGCATTGTTTGCATTAGGCATAACACACAAAGGTGGACATCGACGCTGATAAATTCTCGCTACGTGTCACAGACATGCAACATATGATTAAGTAATATTCCGCTGGGAGATCCAAGTGATACATTTTTATGTGCAAGGTGTGGAATTACTTTGACCAACCGAGGCTTTCGTTGTTGGTCATTCTGAATTCCTCATAGTGGACAAGAAAGGAAATGGTTTCATATACCAAGTGATTAATTAATAAATTTATATCGGTACAACAGATCTGATATTAAATATTTTAACGCGTTTATACATATTTTAGGAAAGCTGCTTAAAGTGCACTATTTTGCAACATCGAACGCCTACTTTTTTTTTCAAGACCAGTCTTAGCAAATGCACAAGATCCTCACGATCTTCATATTTTTGTAACCAGCGTCACCAGAAAACTTGAAAGAAAGGCCTTAAAAACTGCAAAATATATTTTCAGTTCAAAACAGAATTTAATTTGAATGGTCTTATTGATCTGACAAATCCTTGTAAGAACCTTCCTAATATAGCAGTATAATTACATTGCATAAACTTAAATTAATTTGCATCATTTTTTTAATACCCGTGAACTTATCTGAGATTTAAGGGTTTCAGGTCAGTTAATAATAAAAAGTTGGCATCTGTCTCAAGTCCACACGGCTTGACAGCCCAAAATAACATCGACTGTGAAAAATTGTTCAGGAAAGCTGACCTCGGAACAAGAGTAACTGAGACCTCACAGTGTTGGATATAATGGCGGATGCATCAGAATATTGCACTATTATCGTTATGACGTTTAAGGTCAACATTAAATTCAACGCTAGCGAGTTCAATCAGGAAAACAGATGTTAAACGGAACAATTTCTCAGTTATTTAAAACAAAAGTTATGTTACGTGCCCCAAAATCTGATTATTCGACTTTGTTTAAATTGCACTACTAACGGTTAGGTTATTTTATCTTCTTCGAGAATTCCTGATAAACATTATATTCTGTGGGTTTTGTTCCAAAGAGATTTGCTGAGCTACATTCACGCGACTCTCAACACATATTTTCTTAAAAAAAAACAGTTTCAATTGTACTTAGATTAGATAAGATTAAAGACTTCGTTTAGATCTTTTGGTTTGTGTGTAGGTAACAAAACTATTGTTTCTGGTTCCTAAAACAAGCCATCCGTTACTCAAGTCTTAAAAGCAACCGATCTTTTTTTCTGGTTAATAATCGTATGATTACACAACCTTGCCTCAAGTCTTTGTGAAAGTTTTTAAAAAGAGTCGGACGAGATTAGAAGTATGTCACGTGACCCGCAACTTGTTCTAGCGAGAAAGTTGCTCTGTTGAACAGAGAGAGACACATATGAGGTATGTAGAGCTCCACCAGGGGTCTCCAGCACTCCTTTTGCACTGTTCACGCCCATTAGGGCGACTTCAAGGTAGCCTACCTTCCTTACTGTAGTCGGGGGGAATTTGTGCGTTTTGCCACCAGAAGGAAAACAAACACGTTTCCTGTGTAACCCAAAAGGCATTGCCAACTTACGAAATGAGACGAGCTGCAAAGTACTGCTGCCGGGAAATATTGCTTAGAGTGTGGACAGAACATCCTTCCTCATCTATTGCTCATTCCACCCCTCTGACCCCTTTCAAAGCATAGATTCACCCCGGCGACAATAAATGGTGTTAGAGTCCCTGAGATGTTGTTAGACTGTGTATGAAGCATTGTACTCTAGACTTTATTAACATAAAAATGTACATATTACTTGTCTTCGCTCAAATACAGTTTTATCGAACTTCTTAACGACTTACAATATTAAAAATGTCTTCTTATAATCACTAAGTTATGCCAATAAATGTCATGTTTTGGTCTTAGCTCTTTAACCGAAGGAAGTTTCCTTAATACTCGACCAGGTCTTCTTTCGAGTAGTCGAAAAAATATGTTAATGACACAAAATGTTAATCTCGATAAGCCGATGCAGAATAATATTTTCAGTTGGTACAGCCGCGTTAAATAGCGCATGAACCGAATATGAGGACGAACCCATAGATTTGTGGAATTTTATATCGTTATAACCGTTAGTATTAACATGGCGTCCGCACGTCTTTTGAGATGGAAGGGACCATGAAAGTTTGTGAAATTATAGACATTGGAAGAAAATA